TATGTAGAAAACCAATTCTCTACTTGACTTAAGGTTCTTAGAATTGATGGTGGCACTAAATACTGTAATAATAAAATGAAGGCTTTTATCATAGCTCAGGGCATTGTGCATCAACATTCTTGCCCATATACACCACCACAAAATGGTGTGGCTGAGAGAAAACATCGACATCTCACTAAAGTTTCTATAGCCCTGTTACATCATTCTTCAGTTCCTCTCCTTTTTTGGTTTGATGCTCTTACTTGTGCTACTTATCTGGTTAGCAAATTGCCTTCTTCTAAGCTAGGTCACAAAACTCCTTTTGAAGTTTTGTTTCATCATTTTCCAGATTTTTCATTTTTGAGAACCTTTGGTTGTCAGTGTTTTCCTTGGTTAAAACTCTATACCTCTACTAAGTTGTAGTCTAAATCTATTGAATGTGTGTTTTTAGGCTATCATCTATTTGCTAAAGTTTATAGATGCCTTCATCCAATTTCTAGTAAAATTTACTTATCAAGACATGTTGTGTTTAATGAACGTGGGTTCCCTTTTTTTGTGTCCACACCTACTTCTACTTCTTTTCCATCTGTTTATTCTTTACCTCAGATTCAGTCCTTTTTCTGGTCTTCTCCAGTTTCTTCTTCCTCTCCTTCAACTGCCAATCTTTCTTTTTCACCATCTGCTATTTTCTCTCCAGCTAAGTCAATCTTTTTGCTAGCTGAGTCAGTCTTTTTGCCTCTGGTTTCTCCTCTTCTTCAACATTCTATTCCAATTCAATCTCTCTCTGTTCAATTGCCTTTGCTTTCTCCTACTATTTCTCGTCCTTCTGCTCATTCTTCTTTCAATCATGGTTACCAAATCTAAAGCTGCTGCTCTTTCCTCTGTCAAAACCTATTCTGCTTCTAATTCTGATTCCATTACTGAGCCTTTCTCTCACAGAGAAGCTATTCTTATTTCCATATGGAAACAAGCCATGTTAGAAGAATTTTAGGCTCTTCAGGAACAACGTACTTGGTCTCTTGTTCCTTTTTCTCTTGGCAAAACTGTTATAGGCTGTAAATGGGTGTTTAGAATCAAGAGGAAATTTGATGGCACTATAGCTAGGCATAAGACAAGGTTGGTTGCTAAGGGATATGTTCAACAAGAAGGCATTGACTACCAAGAAACATTTAGCCTAGTGGCCAAGCTTCCCACTATTCGTATTTTCTTATGCATTGCTTTATATCATATGTGGCCTATCAAACAGTTAGACATATCCAATGCCCTTCTTCATGGTGTGCTTGAAGAGGAAGTCTATATGTTTCAACCTCAAGGGTTTGAGACCTCTTCTCAGTCCAGTTATGTTTGCAAGCTTTGCAAGGCTTTGTATGGACTTAAGCAAGCTCCAAGAGCCTGGTACTCTACCTTTTCCTCCTTTCTAATTTCTCAAGGGTTCGTCAACAGCAAGTGTGATTCTTTTCTGTTCATTCAAAAGACATTATCTACCTTTGCTGCTCTTCTAGTATATGTAGATGACATCTTAATCACTGGCAATGATACTAAGCATATTCAGACTATTGTTACTCAAATGCACCAAGTGTTTTCCATGAAAGAACTTGGTTTGATATCTTATTTTCTGGGTATATCTATTGAGCCCTTAGCCTCTGGCTATGTTTTATCTCAACCTAAATATGCTCAGGACATTCTTCATAAAGCTGGGATGCTAGATTGTAAACATTGCTCCACTCCCATTGCTGTCAAGCTTGCTGTGACTTATACTTCTGATAATCTCTTTGCCAATCCAACTCTATATTGAAGTGTGGTTGGAGCTTTGCAATACTTGACCATCACCAGGCCTAACTTGTCCTTTACCGTCAATCAGTTATCTCGACATATGCAAGCACCTACTAATGCTCATTTCTCTGCAGGCAAAAAGGTTCTTCGATTTGTTAAGGGTACTCTTAATCATGGTCTCACCTACACTTCTAGTTCTTTTGACCTTCATACTTATTGAAACTCCAACTGGGCTGGGGATGTCCTTGATAGAAAGTCTACCTCTGGTTATTGTGTGTTTCTAGGGTCTAATCTCATCTATTGGTTTGCCAAGAAACAGGCTACAGTCTCTCGGTTCTCCACTGAAGCTGAGTACAACTCTTTGGCCTATACTGCTACAAAACTTGCTCGGCTTGGCATGCTTCTTCATGAATTTTGTATTGTTTCTTCAGTTGTGCCAATGCTCTGGTGTGATAATGTTTCTACCATTGCTTTGGTGTATAACCTGTCTTTCGTTCTAGATCCAAACACATTGAGGTCGGCTTTCATTTTGTGCAAGATCAGGTTCTTGCCAAGCAACTTGCTTTGCATTATGTTCCTACTATTGATCAGCTTGCTGATATATTCACCAAACCCTTGTTTGTCTCTTGATTTTCCTATCTTAAGGACAAGCTTATGGAGGTTTCCCTTTCCCTTCGCTTGAAGGGGAGTGTTGACATCTCAGTTCCAGTTCAAGCTCCAGCAGCAGCAGCAGCAGCAGTAACTTTAGCTCAAGTTCAAGTTGAACCTCATACGCCTCATATATCTGCAACAGATCAAAGAGTTCAAGGAGCTAAGCTGAGGCCTCATTATGGCATTCTTGTGCTGCTGTCTCATGAGAATATCTCCTCAGTTAGTTAGATGGTTAAATAGTTATCAGTAATTTGTTAGATAGTTAGAGTTAGTTAGAATAGTTAGTTAGCCTCTTCTTGGAATATATAGAGGAGAGAATAATATGTGTAGAATTGAGAAAAGAGTTTATGAAATAAGATTGGTTCAAGTTTTTCTTCAGTAATACTACTCTTTTTTGTAATACAAATGTGATTCAAACACATAATCACCAATATCTAATCATCATAATTTTTTGTTTACTCAATGAGTACTAAAAATGAAGAGCTCAAATCATTGAGATTGGCCCAAAATGAGCCCACCAAATCCAAAAGCTCTCTCAACTTGGAATAACTAATTTGAGAGAATCTAAACTCACAATATAATTAATTTCTAACGGAAATATTGCAAAGGATGGCATTTCTAAAGGAAATATTACTTCCAAATGGTTCCCTTTTCTTTTTTATTATTTTATTTTTTTGTAATATTCACATATCATTTTTTTTTTTCATTTCAGTTAGTATCACTACAACAGATTAAAATTTTAGAGAGGCAAAAGTTTAGGAACAAAATCACTGTTTTGGGACGAAATATTTTTTTTGCCAAAATTGTTATTTGAGTATTTTTAGCAATGAAATTAGATATTTAGTGATGAATTACTATCCTTTTGAGATCAAATTTTTTGTGTCAAAATAATTCTTTTTGTGACGGAATTATTTTGTTCCTAAAAGTCTATTTATTAGCGAAATTCTTAAAATTTTGTCACTAAAAGTTTTTTTTTTTTTTTAACTTTTCTGAACTACTTTTTATTGACTATCCTCGCAACGGTATGAATTGATCCCAAAATATTTTTTATAACAAATTTTTACTTCCATTTCATTGCACCAAAAAGAAAATAATAATCACAGGACCGCATTTCTCTTACTAGTTACAAAGCAATGGATTGTGCTTAGAATATCCAGTTTTCCACGGAAAATACTAGACTTTTCTTTCCAGCTACAGTATAAATTTAATTCAAACCTTGAGCTCATTCATCATCCAAGCGAGCAATCTATACCAAGTGTATGTATGGTTGTATTACTGGGCAGTTCCTCCTTTGGCAGGTGGCGCCCAACTATGACCGCTTGTGATTTATATCACAAGGCAGAAAATTAGTTAGCTTGCTGCCAAAGGAGATTTGCCCCGCAATTCAACCTGTGCAGTTTGATAATATGCGCCAAGAAATGGTAAAACTTCCTTTCAACTTAGAATTTTCACACTAGCCACAAAAAAAAAAAAACCCTTAGAATTTTCACATCAATATTCCCAAATAAACCATGCCAAGTTTCTTCTTCTTACAACAATGCATTCAAATACTATTTTGCACTTGAATGTATGCTCTGATGTTTTACTTTGTTTGCACACATAAAAGGTAGACATGCTGCATGTCACATGCATGCGGGTCCTTAGCAAGTTGCAGGGTTTGGATAGTCTATCTTAATTCTCTGTCTCACGCTTCTAATACTGCTATGACACTATAATTTGAATTCAAAAACCAACTTTGTCATTCAATGTTCGATAATTTTTAAAAGCATTTTTAAAAATGTAAAAATAAATATATTTAATTGTGACAATGTGTCAATACTAGAAGCATAGGACTAGGGTCGGCCCAACCCATGTACATTGAGACAGTTGCCTAAGCACTTTATTTTTTTATTTTTTTAAATGGCCTTTTGATATAGAGTTGATTTGTTATTTTTGTTGTATTTTAGAGTATATCCAACCCTTCACCTTTTCTTTCATCAATATTTTTAATGAAAAAATGTTCAAAAATAATCCCAAGTTCTTTCATTCATCAAATCAATGGGGACATATGTTTTTTTTTATATATTTATCAAATTGAGAACTCATGAAATTCTTCATTTTTTTGAATTTGACGAAAATTTAAAAAGATGAAACATTGGAAATGAATTTTTTCCATCAAATTTGATGAAAAAGGAAATTGGGATAAGAGGAGAATTTTTAAAAAGTAATTTGATGAAAGAGTAGTTCATTGAAAAAAAAATGGGGGAAAAAAAAAAAAAAAAAAAAAAAAAAAAAAAAAAAAAAAAAAGAGATCATATCAAACCAAGATTTACTAAAATTTAGAATCAAATTAGATGAAAAAATTGGTAAATGGTTGGAGATGCTCTTACAAGTTGATTTGGTTGCTAGTTTCACTAATTTGATGTTTTAAATAATATTTCCATGTCTTATGTTAATTAAATGAGTTTTTTGAATTAATTATTGACTTTTGGACTATAGAGAGCAAAATGGTAATTTGGACTCATTAGCAGCATATTTATTTTTTATTTTTTATATATATATCAGCAAAAGAGAAAAATATTTATTGATGAAAATCTAATTACAAGATAATACATCAATAAAGAAAGAAAAAATAAGTGCAAAAAGTATCATAGCGGGATAAAAGGATCCCAACTACATTAACACTAAGATGCACGCCTAATCACTTACTAACACACCACCAAAAGGGGTAAGAAACCAACCGAAAACAAAACAAACTAGAACAGAACAAAACAAACACCAAAGCGAACAACAACAAAACAGACAACAAAGCACCAAAACCAACTCAGACCCAAGAACATAAGACCATCCAATCATGAGCAAATCCAGCAGCCACCCTTTGCATCAGTGCAACCAAAGCCAAATTAAATCAGAAGAGGCAAAATCAATCAACCAACACACACTCTGCAATGCACCACCAACAGTTCTCAAACTCGAAGAGGCTGCTCAAACTCCCTTGTCTGCTCAAACTCCCACCTGATGCAAATCTAATCTGCAACAACAACACAATCCCAGAGGCATTAACAACAGCAGCACTTGACAGCATCAGCAGCATCACCCGCCAGCTATCCCAGATCCATAAATGAAAACAACCCAAACTTCATAGGTACCCTGAAATCTGATTCTGAATAGAAAGCAAATCAGTCATTGATGCCATCCTAGAACTTAACTTCAACTTTGTCCATAATATCACCCTAAACTTGATTAGCTCAATGAGTTCCTCCCAATTTGGTTGCGCCTCATTGAACAAACAATGATTTCTCAACCCCCAGATTGACCACAAAACAGCGAATGGTATTACCTTCCAGATTTGATTTTGCCGCACCACGCCAACTACCCAAAAAATCTCACTCTCAGAGGGGCTGCGTTTCTCCGGACAATATTTATCCGCTTCACTTTTGGTCCAAGGGAAGACTCAAAACACTTGTAGAGTGACGCAATTGAAAAGCTGCTGCGTGAATCGCATAGCCAGCTCATAGTGTCCAAGCTCCTATATCCCTGATTAGTGGAGAATCATTAGCAGCATAATCGTCATTTGGGGTTAACATGGGCTATTTTGTTGACGTTGTCACTTAGGAAATCAACTTGAAAATAATAAGAATAAAATGGTAATTTGCACAATTAGGGGCAAAGTGGTAAATTTCAGTTCTGAATGATAAAATGATAAATTTGTACTTGGGTATTGTTCTATATTATTAGCTATAGGGGCATTTAGGTAAAATGCCTATGGAAAGAAAATTCGTTAGTTTGTATACAAGTGCTGGAAAATGCCCAAGTAACGACGAGATGGAATTTACCTGAGGCTATTCACGTGATTTGATTTTCCTTACTTGGTTATTTTTCATGATTGGCCCAATTTGGATTGATTTGGTTGGGTTGCATACCTTTATAGGCATAGAGCAATAGTTATGGTCCGATAAGCTTGATGGAGATAGTGGAATTTTCTTGCAAGAGAGTTTTATATCAGATCCTTCTGTCATATTTATCAAGACATTTCTAAACAAACACAACTCTCATACTCTCTCACCTGTGCATCTAATTTGGCCCTCTTTGCCCTTGCTTTTACAAAATTGTTCATAAAACTCAAAAAATTTTGAAGGCAATTTACTATTTCTTTTTAATAGTTTTGGAAAATAAGAAACTAACCAAATTTTCAATCTTATTTTATGTATGTGTAACCCTGAAAAAAAAAAATAAACAAAAAAAAGGAACTACTTTTTAATTCCAAAGGCAGCTGTAGACACCCCATTTTTGACCGTCCTCAAGACTTGGACGTCACCGTTTGAACACTCGGTGATCATCCATGTTTGTGTTCGTTTGGAGTTCTCGGAGGTCTTGGCTACGCGCCTTGCCTCAGGATCTCCGAACTCGACCGTTTAGTGTCTGGTTTTGCACCAAACACTTGTGTTTTGCCTTGGAGGGGCAGGGAATGCCTTGTAAGGCATCCCCACACACCACCGGCAGTGGCTAGAGGCCACCGGCTGGTTTTTGCTGCCATCGGCACTTTTTATTGCCGGTCGGCACTGTTTGTTGCCGGTCGGCACTAAATTTTGTCAAAATGACATTTTTGGGCAGCCGACCACTGTTCATCCACTTTATGGAGATATTTTGTGCCAGCTGTGATAGCTGGCACCAACTCTGCCTCCCTCCATACACGTGTATGGAGGGATGTCCCTCTAAGCAAGCTTGTTGTGTAAGCTTTGCAAGAGGGACCTCTATAAGAGGAAGGCTCTCCTCTTTGATCTAGGTTAGAAGTTTTGGAGGCAAAAACCAGAGCTTACACTTATAGATACAACCTATCTCTATATTTCCTTCTCTCCCTCTCTTTGTGTGTGTTTCTTGGCCTAAAAGTGTGATTTTACCTTACTTTTGCACCATTACACACACCATTACACCTTGCTCCGAGATTGAGGGACTTGGGGGGTTGATTCTTGAGTTTTTGGACTGATTTTGATCAAAAGAAGAGGGCTGGACCATTTGTTCTTCAAAGGATCTTCAAGGGTGAGCACTATACTTTAGATTCCCCAAACTTGCAATAGTTTTTTACCTATCTTGCTTGCTGATTTAGCTTTTGTGCATAACATAAAAAAGGCTTACATTTTCATGCTTTAGAACTTTCATTAAGGTTGTTTTGTGGTTTGAGTGCAAACTCACCTTATTAGGCTTTATTTGGCCCCTTTTGTGCTTCCCTTGTGAGGCCTTGTTTGCTTGAGTGTGTTGGTCTTTTCACCACTAAAAACCAGTTGATTTTCAGTGGTAAGGAAGGTGGTTTGAAGTCTTGCATAGGGGAGAGACACCCCTCTCCCTTCATTTTCTTATTTCCTTGCACTTTGGCTTAAAGGGTAACATGCATGCTTGCTTGATTTTTGCCTTATTTCAGAACTTTTTAGGTGTTTTTAGGTCATATGGGATCTCTATTTTTGGCCGGATCTATGGCCCTTTGCATGCTTAGTATACTTGCTTTACATTCCTCCATTTGGCCTAGAATTTGTATCTTGTGTTTGGGCCTTAAATCCTTGCATGTGTTGGCTTAGTTCCATGAAGATTTTGGCATTATTTTACTATGTTTAAGGTCTGTTGGCCATTTGTTGTAGTCATGCTTGCATGGTTTGATGTCATCTCTTTGTATTTTGGCTTGTAGGCTTTGAGCATATTGACCTATAGCATGCATAACTAGGACCATCCTCATGATTTGGCATCATTTAGGACCCTATTTCAGCCCATGAATCATGTTTATATGTGTGCATGTGTGACCTCTTTCATGCTTTGAGAGTGTGCTTTCTTATGCCTAGACATGAGTCTTGGTGGAAGCATTTCATGGGAGTCACCTTAGCTGCCATATTAGGAGGGTTTGGAGTCCCATTTTGCATGAAAAAATTCTGTCTTTACTTGTCTTAGTCATGCCATGAGTGGTCATGTTGGTGGGAGTAAAGTACCTCCTTTTTGTGCCTTAACCTTAGGACCTTTGATTTGCTTGTTGGCATGAGCATTGGTCCACCTTTTGGACACTTTTTGCCACTGTTTTGAGGTGGGTGAAGGTCTACCCCTTTACCATTTTAAGCCACCATTGCATGATTGTTTCATGTTCGTTGCATGATTGGTTCATTAAATGTGTTGTTCCATGCTAACTCTATGGCAAATTGGTCCATGTTTGCATCACATTCGCACCTTGCATGCTTAACATTGCATGCTTGCCATACTAATTGCATGACACTTGGTATGCCTTGTATCTTGTTATCATGTTGCATTTTGAGCCATGTTTGCATAACATGCATTGCATTACTTGGTTTGAGGTGTCAAACCAAGTGTGAGTGTTAAGGGGTGTTCATACTATAAGTGATGAAACACGCCTTAACTCTCGGTCACCGGGGTCTTTGACTTCGACATGATAAGGCCTTGGCTCTCATTTGTGTGTCGCATGCATATTTATATCAAGTGGCAAACTTGATCCCTTGGGCTGTCATGCACCATTGATGGCTCGAGGATCGAGGGTCATGCTTCCTTGAGTTCAAAGCATGATAGGAAGCATGATCATACTCACATATGCCTGAAACCCCATGCCATGCACTGTCTGTTCTCTGTTTGCTGTCAAAACTGTCTTCTGCAGGAAGTTTCTGCCGACCGGCAGAATTCAGTGCCGGCCGGCAATCTTCGAATGGCCGGTAAATCAAAACACTGTCGATGGAAATTCTGCACTGCCGGTGGGAATTTCCCCCAGCCGGTGGTACTCGGCAGCATGTAAGGAACCTGTTCCAGAACTTTGGCAATTTTCAGAGAGACAGGGCAGTGTAAACAGAGGTGGCAGAGATATGGTACGGGTTTTCCAGGCGAGCCGGTTTTCGAGCACGCATCATTCGCGCATCCTGAGGCAGAGGCTGCGGCCACCCTTTTCTTTCTTTTGCATTCTTTCTTTTAATTAATTAGAAATTCTGTAATAATTTTATTTGCTTATTATTTGGGACTGTAATATTTATTTGTATCCTCCGAGCGAGGGCAAATCTGTAATAAGTGTGGGTGAGTGTGTGTATGTCTTCCAATCCCCACTTCTTTCTTCCCTTTTATTTACCTGCTTACGATGGTAGACTATGGCATATTTTAAAGTTAGCATACCTTATGCAATGCATGCGTGCATTCATACATTTGTCCTGCATGCACCGGGCTCGGTACATCATACTAACTGCATTCGTATTTCAAATTCCAAAATTGAATACGTGAATCAATTGGTTACATTTCACATGCCATATTTAGGTTAGCCGAGCTTACTCTAATTGCATCATGCATGTGTTGCATTAGTCAACTTGACATGAACTAGGATCATGCATATGATTACTAACTAGTTTCTGTTTTGGCTTGGAGTACTAGGTGAGCTTTTATGCTTTAGCATCCTTGCATGCGTGCGAGTGTTGCCATGACAGTATGATTACCATGAGGCTAGCTGCTTATGTGATATAACTGCTTGAATGCCTGTGGATGGAGGTCGAATTACCTAAATTGGAATAATGCATTAAAACCGTGAGTTTTAAGCCCACTAGATAGTGGCAAAACCATCTTTTCTAAAGCCCACTTGAGGGTGGCAAAACCTGCATTTTAGCCTACTTGCGAGTAGCAAACCATTTTCAAAACAAACATGCAATGTTTTGTTCCAATTTAGGCGATTTGGTCTATACTTATTTGCTGTGCGCATAACATAGTAATTCTAGGCTAATAACCGGAATAAGAACACATAAAGTTTTCAAAAACGGATATCACGGTTAGTAGAGGTCGGTCTTCGGACCGGGCGAAAGGGGGTGCTCATAGCTGACCTTCCCCGATCGTACCTAAGCTCCCGAGCCGAGACAACTCCGGTGATGACGGACATGTGGCCTTCGACACCGAGTCAGGGTTTCCTAAATTCCCCCATTAAAAAATATTTAGGTGGCGACTCTGTATCTGGCAAAGCAGTCCATGTTTGGCACTACTTTTTCAAAAATCTGTTTCTCAAAACGATTTGCCAGATTTGGACTCTTTGGTTCAAGATTAAGAACCGTGACACAAATCAAGAGTCCGAACTGTAGTAGCGAGGTCCCCCTTCGCGGGCGCGTCTACAGCAGCATTAACAAAAAAGAAATCTGAGAGAAACATGCAAGTACTTAAAAAGTAGCTCAAAAACTTACGCTGAAATTTCGAATCAGCTGAATTTCAAACTCCAGAGGTGTTTATTACAGTAAGTTATTTATCTTCAAGCAACACATACCATAAGACCAATGACCTTGCTATCTAAATCTACACATAAAAAGAATATTCCCAAACAAATGATGCACCACCTAGCCTACAAAACGACAGACACGAAAATCATCCCCACAAACTAGCTAAACATCAACATTCTCCAGTGACTCCAGTCTGAAATTACAGTTTGAAATTACACTAATTTGAATCAAAGACAACTTGATAATCAGAACACTACCCAATTTGTCCTTGTACAGTCTGAAATTAAACTAATTTGAATCAAAGACAACTTGATAATCAAAGCAATACTGGTATTATCCCAAGAAAGACACAGATTAAAAAAAAAAAACCAAAAAGAAAAAGAAAAACCCAATCTGACATATACCCAAGCATGCAAGTTTAGATCTATTATACAGAGCATAGAAAAGCCACAGATGAATGCAAGTTTAGATCCAAGCAACGATGAACTAAATCGAACTAAATAAAAGAAATAAATTAATTAATTAATTAAACTGAGAACAAGATTGAAACACCAAACACCAACAAGATTAATTAATTAAACTGAGAACAGAAAATCTGAAGATTAATTAAACACCAACAAGATTAATAAATTAATTAGCTTTTCTCACCTGCAAAATGACACAAGATTGAAAATCTGAAGAAGAAGAAGAGCTTTTGGAGAGAGCTTGCTGTATGAGATTGGAAATCTGAAGAAGAAGAAGAGCTTCTCTTGCCTCTCCCTTTTGCTGCTGCTACTTTGATGAGTTAGACCATCTCCAACGGTTCATCAAAGTTGACATCAAATTTAAAATTTGGTGAAAAAGTTACTGTTTGGTGCTCCAACGGTTGCACCAAATCGATATCAAAATGAGATTTCACCAAACAATTCATCAAACTGAGGACAGAATGCTGATTTCATCAAAACACTGTTTGTGACCGTTGGGGGAGACCAACCGGTCAACCACCAAAAGGTTCAAACAGTTCCAAGAAAAGGTTCAAACAGTAAAAAAAAAAAAAATTATTTTGCCTTACCGGTCGACTGGCCGGTCGACCACTAAAAGGTTCAAAAAGTTCAAAAAAAAATAAAAATAAAAAATTTCGCCTAACCGGTCGACCGGCCGGTCGACCAACCGGTTGTCCCGGCGCAAATTTGATGAAAGTTCACTGTTGGAGTGAGTGATATCAGATTTGGTAAAATAGGTCATTTTTTACTCAGATTTGATGAAAAAAAAAATGCACCGTTGGAGATGCTCTTAGGGCTAGGGCAACATGGGTAAAGAAGTAATCACACTCCGTAATACCAACGGACTAGCTTTGAATACCAACATCAGGGGCAGACTGTGAATCCCCTCTGCAAGGCCTCTATGAAGCCGTTCGGCTTATCAATCTGTCCCTCATCTCTGTTAAACAGGGTATTAAGTGGGATCCACAGTTAACCTAATCCCAATCCCCCTCTTATCCCAAAACAAACGGGGCCTTAGACTATGGGTGGGAATTCGTTAGGCCGTGTCAGGCCGGCATTATACAATAAAAGATTTTTATCTGCTCAAGTTCGACTCAGTCGTAATATTAGACCTCTACATCTGTTTAAGTCTAATCTAAAAAATAATTATAAATCTTAGAACTCACCTATCGAGTTATAAGTTAAAAAAATTTAAAACATTTCATAATTAAATTCAATTATACATTATATTTCTTAAATAAATATATTGATATCATTAGAAATTGAAAGATTTTTTGTGTATAAATTGAAAGATTTTTTTTTAAAATAAATTCAATCAAATATCACCACAAATATGAACTTCAATAAAATCAACAAAAAAATATATTTTTTAATATATATATATATAATAAAGCAGGATGACTTTGAATTTATGTTACACACATTTGTCCTGCTAGGACATTTGGACGGCTCAGATCTATTCATATTATAAAACAACGACTGGGATATATTTTTCAAAAAATATCCTACATGTACATTTTTTATTTTCCCGCTTCCCTGTTTTACTTTTTCCTTTTCTCTCCCATCCTTCTATGATCCCATGATCCTACCTTCCTCTCTCTTTTCTTTTTATTTTTTTTTATTTTCTCCTATTTTTATTTTTCTCTTTATTTGTTTATTTTTTTTATTTGTTTCTTTTTGTTCATTTATTTTTATTCATATTATATGGAAAAGTCTGCGATTCTAGAATTAGAAGCCAGATTTTATCGTGTAGTGGAGATTATATTAATAAATTTTTTAGTCCACAAATTAAATGAATTTGAACAATTAATTATTATTTTTAAATATATTGAATACCTAATAGACTTTGTAAATTTAGATCTCATATGAATCTTCAGCATCTATATAATATTGAAAGCGGGTTTTTGAATTTATCCTAGAGGCAATTGTCCTACTAGGACATTTTAATGGTCATGATTTATTTCTGTATTTAGATGGACGGCTGAAATGATAACCTTCTCTCTCACTTTACCACAACTTCCCACCAAAGACCCACACTCGCCCACGCTCTACAGAGGATAAACCCACGCTCATCGAATTCTCTCTATAAACTCTCCTCTCTTTGTCTTTTAAAGCACCCATCCCCTCCCTCTCTCTCTCTCTCTCTCTCTCTCTCTCTCTCTCTCTCTCTCTCTCTCAGCCTTACTTCCCACTGTAACACTGGTACATCTCTCTCTCTCTCAATGTTACTTCACTTCTACAACATTTGCAGTTTGATCCAAGTGAGAGGAGAAACCACCGATTTGATGATTTCTTCGTCCGAAAGCACAAGCGGTTAATCCATCAGTTCTGGCACAGGAGGGGGGATAGCGCAATCAACAACGGCGAAGGCAGATGAGGTGCAAAGAAAGAGGCGGTGACGCCCTAGGCATCATGAGAAGCACGAGTGATGAAGGATTGGACGAAACTAATGCCGAAAAAGCTGAGGAGCTAGATGAAGGAAGCGATGGCGGCGACTTCAGATTGGATCTTATCGCGCCAACGGTGGAAGAGGTAGTAGGCCATAGAGAAGAAGAGCGTGAAGAAAATGCCGTTGGTCAAGCATAGAGGGAGAGATAAGGCATCAGAGGCTTTTGGTGATGATAATGATGATGATGAGACAAATGTATTTGGGGTTTTTTTTTATGATGATGATGGCTTTTGGTGAGAGAGAATGAGTGGCATCAGAGACTTTTGGGTTCTATGTTTCTAACCTTAAGATGTGTTTGGGTTTTTATTTTTTTTATGTTCTGTTTGTTCTTTATTTATATAGAATTTTTGTTTTTATTTTTATTTTTTTTAATGTAGCTTATGGGTTTGGATTTAATTTTTTAAAAAGTTTTAGGTCTAAAATAATATTTGATCTTCATAAAATGGGTTTTGATTTTATAAATGTATTTTTATTTTTAGTTTGATTTATGAAATGGATTTAATTCCTTAATGGAAAATGAGTGTTGATTTTTTATGATTTTGAAAAAGTTTTTGAAATGGGTTTTGAAATAAGGGACCCATCGCCACCTCCGCTCTGTAACTATCCATCACCATTGAAAATAAAGATCGAACAAAGAAAATCTTAACATTATGTTTTAATAATTTTATTTTGATTTATATTTTAATCTCATTATTAATTGCATTGTGCCTTCAGGCACAGGCATACACTAGTTATATTATATTATAATTAATTAATTAATACAATAGCAGGTCGGGCCGGGTTAGGTTGAAAATATAAATCTCAAGCCCGACACATTAATATATTGGGATGAAAATGTTGACTCAACCTAGCTCTATGGGCTAAAACAAAATCCTAAACCCTAAAAAAATAAGGTCAGGTCGGCCAGGCCAACAGGTCGATACGCATCCCTACCTTAGACATTATGTATTATTGAGATGAGTAGTAGTCTCTGTTGTTGATGGTGGAGAAGATGATCACATGTTTTGGAGTTACATGGATGTGTGATATGGTAAGTGTGGATGTCGTGACTTTTTCAAGTATAAGGCGCGTTTTTACACTATTTGTACTAACTCACTTTTCCACATTGATAACGTCGCCACTTAACTTTTATGGAAAATTAAGAAATCTTTACAATTAAAACTAAATAAAGGCACCAATCATTATAACCAAACAATTTAGGCTCGGAAACTTAGGTACAAAAGTAGAACGTCATTAACTGATGAAGCCTCTCTTGTCCAATCAAGTGATTGGCTTATTTTGTGAGATTCATGATTAAATTATTTCACAAACTTCATTATTACCATTTTCCTTTACTAACCTAACAACTAGCCGATTTGATAAAATAAATACCACTCAACTTGAATTAAATAAATATAGCCAAAAAAAATCATAAAATCATTATTTTTAATCAAAAAGTCAGCTTTTAGTACTTGTAGTCATAAACACAACCCAAATCGAGCAATATTCATAATATTAAAAAAAAAAAAAAAAAGTCAAAACAACCAATGAATCACCAAAAATCACATAAACTTGCATTATTTAAAAGCAATGCAAAAATACAAGCAACATGCTATGAAAAATGAGAGACTTACCCGGATTTCACCACAAAGCGTCAGACCATGCAAGACATGAATTAAATAATGTACAATGACATAATCATGCTACTATACACACAAGATGTAAACTTAAACCCAGTTTGAAGCCACTAACATGATTTCATGGACAAAAAGCAATTAACATATACATATGCTGAATATTATACAATGCTTAAACCGAGTTTAACGCATTACTATATCATAAATAATCTAAGCTAAACACGATGTTTATATAACCTAAACAAAACATGAAAAATAAACCAAACTCTAGGTGTCAAGGGGATGTGTGAGCGCACAAGCCATGTGCGGCCGTACCACAACACACATGCTACCTTGGGGTGAGTGCCATCCATGCATGTATACGTGCAGGATTTTGTGCCTTTGGACCTTCTTGTTCCCTAAGTAGGTCCAATTGACTCCCAATCAACTTTTTAATGTAAAATCGGTCAATGGTTTTGAAAATATTCATCAATTCAAATTCAACCAGACCTTCATCTCTCTACCTTTCTCCTAAGTGGGAGCAAAAAGTTAGGTTCCGGATGAAAAATGAGTTTATGGGTAAAATGCAAAAAGATAATTTTGGCATAAAACGGGGTGGTACAACAACTCATAACAAAACAAAACCTCCCAACAGCTAGCTAGCAGCAGCAATAAACAAGTAGAAAACACCCACAATCATTAACTCTATCAATCCAAGACTAGGCCCATAAACCAAACACCATACCAGTAGCCATCCATCAAGTAGAGCAACAGAGCAACTGATGCAAATTGAACACCAAATCATGGACTGACCAAGCACAAGCAGGGAAATGGTACTTAATCCATATTGCAACCCTAGACTTTATCAACTTGCAGAGCTCATCCATATTAAACACACACTCATTTCCACATTTCAAATGGACCACATTAGTGCCAATGGGATAGATTTCCAAATCGATCAATCAAACTTTCTGAACTTAAACCCATCCCGCCAGTAAAACAACCCCTCAATTGTCCCAGGAACAACCTATTGAATTTCCCACCAATCTAGCAACTTGGACCAAACTTTCCAAACTATAGGATTTTCAGAATTTGGCCCAACCTCATTCCTATTGTACATGGAAGCCACACTAAACTCACCTATAGGAGATGCCAACTGGCTAAGTCTGTCTTCATGACCTGACACTGCTAATAGAGCTGTATTTAGCAAAGTGTTGAGCTTATCTACCTTAGCCACATCCCAAGCCCTCAATGGTCTTCTAAAAGCCAACATCCGGTCCTTAGAAACACCCTTCCTGTCTGGTAACACCCTTAGAGAAAAAAATTTCATCCAAAGGGGGGTTGTATTTTTTGGTTGGTTTCTCGCCAACTCTTGATGATTGGCTAGCAAATGATTGGATATGCTTTTTGGTGCCAATCTATTTGGGATTGACAAGTTATACTTTGATGCTCTTTGCATTATCCTCTTCTTTATTGAGTTATTTTCATATGATTTGTATGCTTGGTTCATCAATAGAGTTTTTGTTCTTTTGCTCATAAAAAAAAGGGAAGGGGGGGGGGCAATCCTTGAGCCAGCTCATAACAACTTTAAATATCTCTAGAGATGAAGTAATTATACCATTTCATAATCGAGAAACATTCAAGTGCCCAAAGTCTTAGGGTTAGTTAAAATAGGCTATTTACAGTAGGACATCTATATATATTTTTTCGATATAGATATTATATGTATCGGCGATATCGGTTAAGCGCCCTATTACCAGTTATTATTGATCTTGAATTTTATTATTTTTGCAATTTGACTTAACCGGTGTGTTAATTAAATGAAATGAATCTTAAAACCAGTAAAGTAATTAAATCCTATGATTGCACCAGATAACTGTATGTATTACCGCACATGAACCTTATTTAAAGTAACAAATTGATATTATATTGATTAGTTAGTGTGTAACCAACTAGGCCTAGCCTAGTTGACCACTATGCCTTCCTTTGGGCTTAGTCCCAATGAGGTCATGAGTTCAATTCCTCTTAGAGGGTTGAATTAAGAGTGTGCAAGCACTTAGGTGCTTTGTCAAGAATGAGGAGATCTAATCTAACAACTAACATTTGCCGATCAAAAAAAAAAATATATTGATTAGTGTGTGGTTTGCTCACCTTTCACCTTATAGGTACAGACGAGCATACTACTTTATATTTTGAGCATTTTAGTTTAGATTATAGGATAATTAATATTGCGTTTGTTTATTCTTTTGGATGTACTTATTGTAATTAAGGTTATAGTTTCTTACTTAACTTTGTTTAGCTTTTGCATGTTGACGATATCACTTTATTTTTATTCGAATGTGTGGCATTCGTAGCCTGACTCAAGCTTATGAGTGAATATCATTGTTTTATGACTCAAATCAAATTCCTTTAAAATATTAGAATTGAATAAGTTTTCCAATAAGCAAATCTTATTTTGTCACAGATAATGTTAATATAGGAAAATATACCGCATTTTTTAGTTTAACAAAATAATAATATAAAAACCAATTTTAGGCACATTTTATGAGGCACTTCAACCAAACTATAGAATTGGTTAAGTGAGGTAGTTTTGAAAACGATTTAAGTATTAAATGGATGTGTTTTCTAAATTACTTAGTTTCTTCCAAATTTATTTCTTAAAATTTGGGGCGACCGTGACATACCATGTGTCTATTATTAAAGTTGATATATCTATGTGGAGTAATGTTGTACATAAATGAATTTTCTTACCATTAAGACATAGTTAGTGAGATCCACATTAATAAATAATAAATGCAGTATATGCGGACTCATATATTTGTGCCTTGTGGTACTCTAAATTTTAAATTTTACATCAATTTTGTCCAATCAAAAATAGTTGTTAGATATTTTGAAAACAATTATTCACATAGAAGCAAGTTGAGAGAGGACGGAGGTTGGAGGATGGAATCCGGTGCTAAGAAGAAGACGAGTTGCAAATCACAACGGTAGATCAGTGGATTATGGCGTGGTTACTATCTTTGTGGATGAGATCCCAAACTCAATGACTCCAAAGTGTTTGTTTACTATCTTTGGTGTTGTAACTATCACCAAGCTCTTCTGTAAGGGCAACTGCACAAGTGATGGAAAGGTAAAAAGAAAAATGGAGGTAAGAGGAGACGGATGGATTCCAGTATTTCGCAGGAAAGCAAGGGTGTCCAGGAGATCTCAAGATATTCACACCGTTTTTGTGGATAATCTACCGGAAACTTTAGATCCTAAGGGACTGTTCTCACTGTTCTCAAAGTTTGGAGTAGTAATGGATGTTTACATCCCGATCAAGAGGAGAAAGGCAACAAGCTCACGCTTTGGTTTTGTCAGATATAATTGTCCAGTCGCGGCGAAAGTGGCTATTCAAAAGGCGCATGGCACTTGGTGTGACAATCGCGAGATCAAGGTAAAGATGGCGGAGTTCAGCAAAGCCCAAAGCAAAAATGGGAAGCAGCGGGTGCTGCAGAGAGGCGTAGGTAATACAACCCATAGAAATCATGTCAGTATGCCCAGTATACGGAATACTGTACAAAGTTATGCCGATGTGGTAACTGGTACAAGGACTGCGAAGGACGAAAGGATAGTAGTTAAAGAAGAGGAATATGGAAATAGGTGGCTACATGAGAGCCTAGTTGCCAAACTCAAGCCTCTCTGCCTTGTATTTGATTTCAAAATAGAAGTGTCAAGCAGGTATGGATCTGATGCTCACGTTAGAGAGATTGGAGGCAAATCGGTGATTCTCTCTTTCAAATCAGAAAAGGCAATGAATAGTGCAAGAAAGGAGCTGGAACTTTGGACCCATGAATGGTGTGAGTTCATCACACATTGGACCAAGGACACAGTCATTGAGCATGAAAGGGAGGTATGGATTAGCTGTTATGGAGTACCCCTCAATCTCTGGAACTCTACCAATTTCAAGAGTATTGGCATGCTATGGGGTGATGTCATTGCGATCGATAGAAGCACACTTGAAATGTCACACCTTTGCTGTGGTAAAGTCAAAATAGCAACCAAAGTAATGGAATGCATTAACCAAGTGATAACTCTGGATTGCAAAGGCACACTCCACCAGATCCGAGTTTGTGAAGAGCAAGTAGTCGTCATAGAAAACCCAAGTTTCTCTAATATTCATATGCAGGAGGCCACTTCTGTTAATGCAAGCAGGGGGGGATGAGCACTCTGTTGACAATGGTGTAATCCTCAGGAGAGAAGATGATGAGGTGGCAATGAATGATGAGGTGGAGCCTGTAAGGAACTCTGGCGGTGGCGTGTGTATACAAGGAGCATTAAAGGAAAAGGAGTTGTCAGGTAATGATAGTTGATGGGCTTATCTCTACCCCTGGCTTTGTGAAAAGCGTCAGTGGGTCTGTTTTACCCCAGCCCAGTGTGAATCTGGAGGTGTTTCTAGGCCCAGTCCAGTTTGTTCATTCAAACCCCACCATGCCTCTAATAGTCCATGGGCCTAATAGGGTGGACCTAATTGGGTGTGCTGACCCAACCAACTCTGGGTTATCACAACCCAGGGATGTTATAAGCAGAGCTGACCCAACCGACTCTGGGCTGCATCAACCCGTAGCAGCTGCTCCCTTAATACAATCAAGCCTAAAAGGGGGGACTACTACAGCAGCAGAGGTTAGCAGTTATCACACTGCAGCAAAGCCATACCCTTCGAAAGCTCCAAAGAAATCAAAGGCCAAGGCAAATGGAGGTGCAAGATTTAACAAGGGCGTGCTTCTCAGAGCTGCCACTAAGGCACTGTCAGACTCCATCTCTTTGAGTAGTTGCTCGAGCAAAGGTAGATTCCTTCTAAATGAGGCACAAGCCACCTTACAAATTGGCAATCTTCTTGGCATTAATTGTGAAGGAAAAGAGGCCGAAGTTATTGAGAAGATCATGGAGCTTGAAACCCAAGATCTGGAAAGGAGGAAGCAGCTTGATGCTGCTAAAAAATCCTGATCCTGCAAGCCTAGGTGGTTTGGGAGCCTTAGTTTGTTTATCAATGAAGTTACTCTCTTGGAACATTAGAGGGTTGGGAAATCCGGAGAAAAGAAGGAAATTAAAGGAGCTTCTTAGAGCAAGAAAAGTAGATATTGTTTTAATTCAGGAGACCAAGAAGGCAGAGATTTCAGAATCATTTGTTAGATCCTTATGGCCTGGGGACCAAATGGAGTTCATGGCTGTTGACGCAGTAGGGAATGCAGGTGGGCTGTTGTGTATTTGGAAACCTGAGGTTTTCTCTTTGTCAGATTGTTGTTGCAGCAAGAATTTCATTTTGCTCTCAGGTATCACTTCTCTAAACTTTAGCTGTATTATTGTCAATGTTTACGCTTCTAATGATTTGCTGAAAAGGAGGAGACTGTGGGAACTATTATGCACTCTTAGAACCACTTTCACTCATCCTTGGTGTATTGGGGGTGATTTCAATGAAGTCAAAAGTATAGGGGAAAGGAAGGGTTGTGTTAGAAGGGATGTGGGGATGAAGGACTTGGGCAATTTTATTGACAAAATTGGAGGGGTAGACTTACCAATGCTGGGCAGACGATACACCTGGGGTAGTTCTCAGGATGGTGATAGGTGGAGCAGAATTGATAGGTTCATTTTAAATCCTGAGTGGCTTGAATCTTTTAGGTTCAAACTTTGGGGTTTGCCTAGATCCTTGTCTGATCACTGTCCTCTGTTGCTAATGGAGGATGAGAGGGTTTGGGGTCCTAAACCCTTTAGATTTATAAACTCTTGGGCGATGCACACCAGCTTTTATCATACAGTGAAGCAAAACTGGGAGCACTTAAATTTGGAGGGCTGGGCAGGTTACATCCTCAAGAAGAAGCTCCAAGCTCTTAAATTGTGTCTGACAAAATGGAATAAGGAGGTATTTGGTAACATCAAGGAAAATCTCCAGGAGAAGGAAGCTGAACTTCACTAATGGGACTTGCTAGCTGAGGTTAGATCTCTCCAAGTTGATGAATCTGCTAGAAGGATGGAGTTACTAGGGGAAGTTTGGAAATTGAGAAAGATGGATGAGAGACTATGGTTACAGAAATCTAGGCTTAACTGGTCATTGAAAGGTGATAAGAACACCAGGTTCTTCCACATTACTGCCACAAACAGACATAACAGAAATTCTCTTGATTCAATCGAAGTCAATGGGATCTCAGTGGTGCAACCGGTTGAAATCAAAACTGCTGTGATGAACCATTTCAAATTACTCTACTCAGAGCAATGGAAGTGTAGGCCTAAACTGGGAGGCCATTTTAATTCCATTAACTTGCCCAATAATGCATCAACCCTGCTCGAAAGTGTCTTCTCTGAAGAGGAAGTTTGGGCTGCTATTAAGGACTGTGATGGCAACAAAGCCCCAGGGTCGGATGGCTTTAACCTGTCCTGCTTCCAAAAATGCTGGAAGTTTATGAAACATGACATTTTAAACTTTATGAAAGAATTTCATGAGAACAGTACTTTGGCCAGGGGTCTTAATTGCTCTTTTGTGAGTCTTATCCCCAAGAAGGATAATCCTGTATCTCTGTCTGACTTCAGGCCCATCAGCTTGATTAATTCCATATACAAAATCCTTTCCAAGGTTCTAACCAAGAGACTGAAGCTTGTTTTGCCTATCATTGTGAATGAAGCACAATCTGCATTCATTGGAGGTAGAAATATAATGGATGGGGTGCTAATTGCTAATGAGATTGTCGATTGGTGGAAAAAATCAAATAAGCAAGGGGTGATCATTAAGCTTGACTTTGAAAAAGCATTTGACACGGTGAATTGGGAGTTCTTATTTGATTTGCTTGCAAAGTTTGGTTTTGGTTCAAAATGGCTGGGCTGGATGAAAACTTGCTTAACAACTACAAGTATTTCCATCCTTGTCAACGGCTCTCCTACTGATGAAATCCAACCGGAAAGAGGTCTCAGACAGGGCGATCCACTCTCACCCTTCCTGTTCAATATTGTAGCAGAGGGGTTGAATATCTTACTTTCAAGAGCCAAGGTTATGGGCTTAATTAAAGGTGCCAATGTTGGAACTAATGGGCTAGAATTCACTCACCTGCAATTTGCTGATGACACCATTCTCTTTTGCGAGGCGGATTCAATGGAAATCACAACTTTAAAGAGGATACTTAGATGTTTCGAGATTATGTCAGGCCTGAAAATTAACTTCCACAAAAGTGTTGTTTGTGGTATTGGAATCTCGGAGACTTTAGTCAATGACTTCTCATCAAAACTGAACTGTCTCACTCAGAAGCTACCTTTGAAGTATCTTGGTCTTCCACTTGGTGCCAGTCCTAGAAGGAAAGCTACCTGGAAACCTGTTCTGGATAAATTTAAAAGTAAGCTTTCTGGTTGGAAAAAACGACTTTTATCGTTTGCTGGTAGACTCACCCTTATTAAGTCAGTTTTATCAAATCTCCCAATCTTCTACCTTTCCCTATTTAAAATGCCAAAGGGTGTAATCAAAGAGGTGGATAAAATTCAAGCTTCCTTTCTGTGGGGCGACACCGAGGTCAAAAGAAAGGTCCACTTGGTCAATTGGAAGGTTGTCTCAATGTCAAAAAATCAAGGAGGATTAGGTGTTCGAAGTTTGGGTCAAGTTAATGAGTGTTTACTTGCTAAATGGTGGTGGAGGTTTTGTAATGAAAAACAAGCCCTATGGAGAAGATTGATCTGCTGCAAGTACAGCAGCAGATCCGGTAGTTGGTTTCACTCTCAAGGTACTATTACTAATTGCTCTTGGATCTGGAAGGACATTATGGGTTTAGCTGCTGATAACCCTACCTTACTCAACTTTTTCTTGGCTAACTCAGAATTGGTTGTTGGTAATGGGGCCAATATCTCATTCTGGAAGGATGGTTGGCTACGTGGTGACTGTCTTCAATCCCTCTTTCCTAGACTATTTTGTCTTTCTTCTGATAAGGTTGGTTCTCTTAAAGACTTCATGGATAGAAAAAGTAGCTACCCCAACTGGAACTTAACCTTTAGGAGACCTCTGTTGGCTTGGGAAGAGGAGGAAGTCCAAAATTTGCAAGCCCTACTGGGCAATGGGCCATTATTAAGGCCTGAGGTGGAGGATGGTATGAGATGGAAAGCTTCGAATCAGGGTGCCTTTAGATCATGTGACTTATTCTGTTGGTTGCAGTCTAATAGAGGTCCAGTTGTGCCCATGCCTAAACTTATCTGGAATAACATCGCACCACCAAAAGTTCAATTTTTTTCTTGGCTGGCTTGGAAAGGCAGAGTCAAAACATCTGTGTTCCTTCATAGCATTGGCGTTCTTAGAGGCGAGGCCGTTACTCATTGTCACTTTTGCAGAGAAGAACCTGAGTCCCTTAACCATGTTTTACTCCTTTGCCCCTTTACCTGGAAAATTTGGTCTGACATTATAGATTGGTGGGGTTTTCTCTGGGTATGCCCAGGCTCTGTGGTGGCCTTACTTGATTGGTGGAGTGGCACCAAAATCAGAAAGAAGGAACTCCAAATATGGAGAGCCTTACCACTTGCTGTTTTATGGTCAATTTGGAAGCTCAGGAACGACTGTGTGTTTAATAGTGCCCAACCTAACTCCCTGCAGCTTTGTGAGCTTACCAAGATTCGAGTTGCCATTTGGTTGAAGAGTCACTCTATTGGGAACTCTTGCTCTTATTCCATCCATGATTTTATATTTAACTTCAACCAGACCAGGAGGTGCCTCTGAGGATTTTTGATTCTGTCAACTGCTCTGTGTGTGTGTTCTGCTTCTGTGTTCTGCCTCTGGGGCACTTGACTTCTGTGTTCTGCTCTGTGTTCTGATTTGCTTCTGTGTTCTGCTCTGTGTGTTGGTCTGCAGCTGTGTGCTCTAAGAGTCTGGCTGGTCTAGTCTGCAGTTGCTTGCTGGTCTGCGTGCTCTAGTCTGCAGTTGCTTGCTGTGTGCTCTAGTCTGCAGTTGTGTGCTCTAGTGTGCTCCCTTGGAATTTCATTGTTGGTCTGCTTTTTTGGAAGGCTGATGCTGGTCTGATCTGTCTGATGGATGCTTGGTCTGATCTGTCTATCAGTTTGAAGAATTTTGCTCAATGTTTGGTCCTGGTGCATCATTTTCTGGCTGGGTTCGTATCAGTTTGTAGAATTTTATTGTTTGCTGTTGCAGATGCACATAGGTGTTTGGCTGGTCTGATCTGCAGCTGTGTGCTCTAGTGTGCCCCCTTGGTTTGGTCTGATCTGTCTTTCAGTTTGAAGAATTCTGCTCAATGCTTGGTCCTGGTGCATCATTCTTCTGGCTTGGGTTGTATCAGTTTGAAGATTTTTGATTGGTTTTGCAGATGCTGTGATGTTGCACAGATTTTGCAGATTATAGAGAGATTATGGATGGTAAGCTGGTCCATGCAGATTGATAGTGATGCTGGTCTGATATGCTCTGCAGGAGGAATGGTCTGATTTATCATTTTGCTGTGGCTGCTGGTGTGTGGATTGTATCATGTTGCTTTAGGTGGATTGTATCAAGCTTGGTTTTCTTTTTTCTTTTCCCTTTCTTTTGCTTTCCTTTGATTGGTTTCTCGCCAATCTTGGGTCAAGTGCTAGCAGATGATTTTGCTTCCTTTGCGGTGCCAACCTAGTTGGGATGGTTAAGGCTAGCGGTGATGCTTTTGCACTTCCCTCTTTATTGATGTATGTTTTATGCTTGTTCTGCTTTCTTCATCAATAAAATTCTCTTTGCTTATCAAAAAAAAAGTGTTTGTTTACTCTGTTTAATAAGTTTGGTGTAGTTAAGGATGCCTTCATCTCGTCCAAAAGACGAAAAGCGACGGGGTCGAGGTTTGGTTTTGTGCGGTATGATTGCAAGGTGGATGCTGAAATGACGGTGCTGAAGGCTGATGGATTATGGTGCGATAATAAGGCCCTGAAAGTAAAGAAAGCAAAGTTCAAAAAAGGAGAGGTTAAGCAGCATGCAATGATAAACAGAGGAGATGATCCGATGATACAACGTCCACAGAGGAGTTTCGGGCATAGAAGGATGGATGGTATAGGTCGAAGATCTTTTGCAGAAGTAGTCCAGAGTGGTGGCAGTAATGAGAAGATGAAGTTGGTTGTAAAGGCATTTGAAGCCGGTAATGGGTGGCTTTATGACAGTGTAATTGTAAAGTTGAAATCATTTCTTGCCTTCGAAGAGTTTAATTTGAAATCATTTCTTGCCTTCGAAGAGTTTAAGAAGGAGGTCAGTAAAAGAGGTATGGAGGAAGTAAGAGTCAGAGAAGGAAGAGGAAGGTTAACAGTGCTAACTTTTAAATCCCAGCAACACAAAAGGGAGGCCAGATCCAAGCTAGAAGAGTGGATGCTAGAATGGTGTGATTCTATTACAGATTGGGAAAGAGGCAAGTATGTTGAACAGGAAAGGTGTGTGTGGCTCATATGTGCGGGTGTCCCATTTAATTTGTGGAGTGTTAATACATTCCGAGACATTGGCAAGCTGTGGGGTGAAGTTGTCCAATTTGATGATGATATTACTACTCCAAATTCTTTTCGGTGGGGGAAGGTACGAGTAATTACTTCCAGAATGGAGTTCATCAATACGGTGATCCAGGTTGAATGTAATGGAAGCCTGTTCCTAGTCAGAGTGTGTGAAGAGATCCCAGCAGCAGGAAAGTCGTGTTATTGCAACAGTTCCTGCATGGAAAATGAGGTCGCTGGTTTGATGGGTCAAGATGAAGTTGATCAACTGTCAAAAAATGGTGAGCCAGACAAGAAGGAACATGAAGATGAACACACAAGGAAGGAGGAGCTGAGCAGAAAAGATGAAACAGCCATTGCCGAACAGGATATGGTGGACTGCGAAGCAGGGGAAGAAGATGAAGGTAATGGGTGCCTATCTGTATCAGTCGTAAAAGAAACAGAGGATGACATGGGAAATCAAAAAGTCAAAGGAGATAGTATGGAGGACAGGTTGGTGAATACGAC